AGGCAAAGGATCTGTGCTCAGAAAACTGTAAAACACTCATGAAAGTAATTGAGGAAGACACAAAGAAATGGAAAAACGTTCCATGCTCATGGATTGGAAGAACAAATACTGTGAAGATGTCAATGCTACCTAGAGCAATCTACACATTCAATGCAATCCCCACCAAAATACCATCCACTTTTTTCAAAGAAATGGAACAAATAATCCTAAAATTTGTATGGAACCAGAAAAGACCCCGAATAGCCAGAGGAATGTTGAAAAAGAAAAGAAAAGCTGGCGGCATCACAATTCCGAACTTCCAGCTCTATTACAAAGCTGTCATCATCAAGACAGTATAGTACTGGCGCAAAAACAGACACGTAGATCAATGGAACAGAATCGAGAGCCCAGAAATGGACCCTCAACTTTATGGTCAACTAATCTTCAACAAAGCAGGAAAGAATGTCCAATGGTAAAAAGACAGTCTCTTCAACAAATGGTGTTGGGAAAATTGGACAGCCACATGCAGAAGAATGAAACTGGACCATTTCCTTACACCACACACAAAAATAGACTCAAAATGGTTGAAAGACCTAAACGTGAGACAGGAGTCTATCAAAATCCTTGAGGAGAACACAGGCAGCAACCTCTTTGACCTCAGCCGCAGCAACTTCTTCCTAGAAACATTGCCGAAGGCAAGGGCAGCAAGGGCAAAAATGAACTATTGGGATCTTATCAAGATAAAAAGCTTTTGCACAGCAAAAGAAACAGTCAACAAAACCAAAAGACAACCGACAGAATGGGAGAAGATATTTGCAAATGACATATCAGATAAAGGGCTAGTATCCAAAATCTATAAAGAACTTATCAAACTCAACACCCAAAGAACAAATAATCCAATCAAGAAATGGGCAGAAGACATGAACAGACATTTTTCCAAAGAAGACATCCAAAGGGCCAACAGACACATGAAAAAGTGCTCAACATCGCTTGGCAGCAGGGAAATCCAAATCAAATCCTCAATGAGATATCACCTCACACCAATCAGAATGGCTAAAATTAACAAGTCAGGAAACGACAGATGTTGGCGGGGATGCAGAGAAAGGGGAACCCTCCTACACTGTTGGTGGGAATGCAAGCTGGTGCAGCCACTCTGGAAAACAGTATGGAGGTTCTTCAAAAAGTTGAAAACAGAGCTACCCTACGATCCAGCAATTGCACTCCTGGGTATTTATCCCAAAGATACAAATGTAGGGATCTGAAGGGGTATGTGCACCCCAATGTTTATAGCAGCAATATCCACAATAACCAAACTGTGGAAAGAGCCAAGATGTCCATCGACAGATGAATGGATAAAGAAGATGTGGTGTATATACACAATGGAATATTATGCAGCCATCAAAAGGAATGAGATCTTGCCATTTGCAATGACGTGGATGGAACTGGAGAGTGTTATGCTGATCGAAATAAGTCAATCAGAGAAAGACGTGTATCATATGACCTCACTGATATGAGGAATTCTTAATCTCAGGAAGCAAACTGAGGGTTGCTGGAGTGGTGGGGAGTGGGAGGGATGGGGCGGCTGGGTGACAGACACTGGGGAGAGTATGTGCTATGGTGAGTGCTGTGAATTGTGCAAGACTCTTGAATCACAGATCTGTGCCTCTGAAACAAATAATACATTATAAGTTAAAAAAGAAGAAGAAGAAGAAGATAGCAGGAGGGGAAGAATGAAGGGGGGAAATCGAAGGGGAAGATGAACCATGAGAGACAATGGACTCTGAAAAACAAACTGAGGGTTCTAGAAGGCAGGGTGGTGGGGGGATGGGTTAGCCTGGTGATGGGTATTAAGGAGGGCATGTTCTGCATGGAGCACTGGGTGTTATACGCAATCAATAAATCATGGAACACTACATCAAAAAATAATGATGTGATATATGGTGATTAACATAACATAAAAATAATAAAAAAAAGTTTCTGGGCACCTGGGTGGCTCAGTTGGTTAAGCGACTGCCTTCGGCTCAGGTCATGATCCTGGAGTCCCGGGATCGAGTCCCATATCAGGCTCCCTGCTCAGCGGGGAGTCTGCTTCTCCCTCTGACCTTCTTCCCTCTTGTGCTCTGTCTCTCATTCTCTCTCTCTCAAATAAATAAATAAAATCTTAAAAATAATAATAATAATAATAAAAGTTTCAACACAGAAATACATTAAAATAAAAGAATAAAAATTTAAAAAAAAAGAAAGAATGGCTGAAAACTTCCCAAATATGGCCAAAGACATAAACCTATAGATTCAAGGCTGAGAAAATCCAAAAGTGATAAACTCAAACAAATCCACACCAAGACACATTATGGCCAAATTTCTGAAAACTAAAAAAAAAAAAAAATATATTGAAGAATCAGCTGAAAGATGGCATCTACCTGCAGTTCACTGAATAACAGTGACTTCTCACCAGAAATCATGGAGGTAAGAAATGAGCACTTGGGGTGCCTGGGTGGCTCAGTTGTTAAGTGTCTACCTTTAGCTCAGGTCATGATCCCAGGGTCCTGGGATTGGGCCCCATGGCAGGATCCCTGCCCAGTGGGGAGTCTGCTTCTCCCTCTGCCCCTCCCCCTGCTTTTCTCTCTCGTTCTTTCACTCTCTCTCTTTCTCTCAAATAAATAAATAAGTAAATAAATCTTTGAAGAATAATAAAGAAGAAGTGAGCACTTCCTTTTCAATGGCTGAAAGAAAAGAAAGGCCAATCTAAATTCCTATGTCCAGCAAAAAATATCCTTCAGAAATAGAGAAAGTCAACACATTTTCAAATGAAGGAAAATTAAGAGAATTTGTCGCGAACAGAACTACCCTTTATAAAACAGGCTGAAAGACATGCTCTGAAGAGAAAGAAGACAATAGCAAAGGAAACTACAACACCAGAAAGGAAGGAAGAATGATCAAAAATATGAGAAATTAAATAGACATTTTCATCATGAATCATCTAAATTAGGTCTGACAGATGAAGCAAAAGTATCACACTATCTGAAGTGTTTCCACCTAAATTAATGTGGAGGAATTAGTCAAGATAATTATATCATAAATAAGGGAGTGTAAAGGAACATATAGAAATGTAAGTTTTCCACAATTTACTAGCCTGTAAAATATGGACACTGATAAGCAGAAGATACATAAATATAAATCTTATATACAAGACATTGATAGAGAAACTGGAAACCCAGAAGATCCAGTGGTGTAGCTGATTCTGAATTTGAGTCTGCAGGACAAATGCCCTACCTCATAGGCAGGAAGAGAAACAAATTCACCCTTTCTCAGCCTTTTGTTCTATTATGGCTTTCAATGGATTGGATGAGGTTTACTCATACTGGGGAGGGCAGTTTGCTTTACTCTACCAAATCAAATGTTAATATCATCCAGAACCACCCTCATAGAATAACGTTTAGAATAACCACACCTAGAATAATGTTTAACCAAATATCTGGGCACCCCATGGTCAAGTCAAGTTTATATGAAGAGAAACACTCAAAAACACTATAGGTAAATCAATTTGGAATTTAAAAAACTGTTCAGGTAATCCACATGAAGGCATGAAAAACAGGAGAAACAAAACAAAAAATGAAATAGCAGACAGCACTAATATATAAATAACTACATGAAATATAAATGGTCTGAATAAACCAATTAAAAGACAGAGATTGGTAGACTGGTTAAGAAAACATGATTCAACTGTATGCTGTCTAGAAGAAACTCACTTCAAATATAACAATATAGGCAGTGTGAAAGTAAAAGGATGGAAAAATACATCATGAAAATATCAACATAAGAAAATAAGAATGACCATATTAATCAGATAAAGTAGATTAACACCAAAGAAAATTATAAGAAAAAGGAGAGATTATATCATGACAAAAGGGTCAACCCACCAAGAAGATATAGTAATCTTAACCATTCAGGCACCAAACAACAGAGCTACAAAACACATGAAGCAAAACCATGTAGTGCTAAGAGGAGAGCTAGCCAAATTCAGAAATAGAGCTGGAGGCTCCATCGGTCCTCTCTGGAGGGCTGCTGAACTAACTAAACAGGAAATGAGCAGGTCTCAGAAAGAACTCAGCACCACCACCAACCAGCAGCAGCTACTTGACATGAATAGAATGCTCCAACCAACAACAAGAGAAAACAGCCATCAGGGTGCACCTCACAATAGCAGAAAAGGGTAGGCCTCCCCTCTGGACCTCCCCCAGACCTGAGCCATCACTGGGAACAGATGGGGCTCCAAGTTGGCCTCAGCAGTCAGGATTTGTCTAGAGGTGCAAATGGGTCGCCCCTCCTGCCTCACCTGGGGGCAGACATGAGCAGACAGAGTTGGCTCAGCCAGGCACCAGGACACGAGAGCAGTGCTAGGTGTGTGGCCAGCCTCTGAGCTCAGGACTCACGCCCAGTGCACCTGATCCTGTGAGCCAACACACCACCCAGCAGCAACCACACTGACTTCCTAGAGCCATCAAGGCTTCTTGCCCAGGCCTTGGGATGGAGGTGGCATTTCTAAGCTGGCCCTGCACACCTCCCTGCAGCCCCATCCAATCAAGGAACAAAACATTTCCATTACCACAGGGTGTCCTACTGTGGCACCTCCCCTCTGGGTTCTAGAATCACTGACAAGGTAGGGAAGGATGGATGAGCAAGAGATGCTCCTGGCCAGATGGGGTGAAGGCCGCGGTGTCAGCCCACGAAGGCTTGGCAGGGACTCTGGTATCTGTCTCATGAGCTATGGAGATGACTTGCAGATATTCTCAGTAGTTTACTGAGTCCTCCTGATGACTCTTTGGAGAAGGTACGGGATTAACCTTACACATGAGAAAACTGAGGCATGGGGAGATGGAACACTCATTTGAGGCAGAGTTAGGCCTTGAAGCCTGGAAGTCCAGAGCGCTCAGGGAAGGGGCTTGGGTTCTAAGTCCCGGGCCCATCACATCTCCCCATCTGGAGCTTAGGAGAGACGCCTGAGGCCCTTGGGTCCTCAGCCAGTGTGGAATTCGTCTGCAAGAGCTGGTACGCAGGCTGTGCAGAAACCACAAGATCCTCTCCAGGGGAGGAGGAAGGAGGGCCCGACGGGCAGCTGGTTCGTTGGGAGGGGACCTGGCAGGCCATGAAGGTGCCGCCCCACACGCAGATGTCTGAAAGGCCACAGAAGGTGAGTTCCAAAAGTGAAGTGGCCATGCCTCTGGAGACAGGGTAAGCAGAAGGCGATTGTCTCTAGGGGCAAGAGTGGGGAATTCTCTCTTCTCTTACATCACTCTTTCCCAAATGGTCTGTAGAAGAAATGTCTTGATTGTGTAATGGAAAAAAAAACTTAAATCAAAACAAGACAACACTGGAGCGCCTGGGTGGCTCAGTTGGTGAAGCATCTGCCTTCGGCTCAGGTCATGATCTGAGGGTCCTGGGATCAAGTCCCACGTCAGGCTCCCTGCTTGGTGGGGAGCCTGCTTCTCCCTCTGCCTCTGTGATCTCTCTCACTCTCACTGTCTCTTAAATAAATAAATATCTTTAAAAAAAAATAAAACAAGCCAAAATACTAAAGTAGTGCTCCCCAGAGCTGTTTCCCTCCTTTCCCCACCTTCACCTGCACGCGGCCGGCTTCTGGTGCCATAGCTTCTGTGCTTTCGGCCAAGAGGTTTCACATGACAGGAACCCTCAGAGAATCGCTCAACACCCCTGCTGCTCCCCGTTAAGCTCCATGACTCAAATTCTGTTGCTGCATTCAGGGGAAGTCTAGTGAAGAAAATGAAATCTGAAAGAGGTCCGATAACCCTGTCCATTTTTACGGTTGTTGATGCTGTATATTCTGGTGATCTGCCTCCCTCAGCTTGTACATAAAGTGACACTCTTGTTACTCAGCAGGCGTTCTGGGGGACTGTGGAGAAGAAAACACTGGCAGACTTCAACATTTACAATTTTCCTGATTCTTACAGGTAAGATTTGCTTGCCTGCTTAGAATAATGTCTTCAAAGATAAAAATGTATTTTTTAAATAATTTTTATTGTTATGTTAATCACTATACATTACATCATTAGTTCTTGATGTAGTGTTCCATGATTCATTGTTTGTGCATAACGCCCAGTGCTCCACGCAGAGCGTGCCCTCTTTAATACCCATCACCAGGCTAACCCATCCCCCACCCCCCTCCCCTCTAGAACCCTCAGTTTGTTTCTCAGAGTCCATCGTCTCTCATGGTTCGTCTCCCCCTCCGACTTACTCCCCTTCATTCTTCCCCTGCTGCTATCTTCTTCTTTTTCTTTTTTCTTAACAAAGATAAAAATGTATTAATGAGGGTCACATGGATATTCTTTGCTGTGAACCGGAAGGGCGTTTAGTTGCCACATTTTTCTCCCCGCTGCGTGTCCCACGGGCTACAAGTCCCATCGCTCGCTGCTGTGTGGCATGGCTCCAAGGGCACCCTGTCCCCACCATCTCCTGAAGACAACCATTTTCTTTGATTTCTGGTTTGCCTTTCATGGTTTCTTTTGGAAAAATAAATACATATATACATGTATTTATATTTTCCCTTCTTATACAAAAAGCAGCATACTAATAGACTCTTGTCACCTTATTATTTTCACTTAACAATATATCCTGGGAATCAAGCCATATCAGTTCATAGAAACTTTCCTGTTTTTTTTTTTTTAAGATTTTATGTATTTATTTGAGAGAGAGAGCACAAAGCAGGAAGAGAGGGAGAGGGAGAAGCAGACTCCCCGCTGAGCAGACAGCCCAACACGGGGCTCGATCCCAGGACCCTGAGATCATGACCCGAGCTGAAGGCAGACACTTAACCAACCGAGCCACCCAGGTGCCCCGAAACTTTCCTGTTTCTTTACGGCTGCACAGGGGATGGGGATATACCATCCTGGGATATACCAGAATTAATTCAACCAGTCTCTGATGGTTGGACACTGAGCATATTCCAATACTTTGCTATTACCAAGTAATAGCTCAGTGAATAACTTTGTACACATGTTATCGCACATTTGTGAAGATGTGCCTCAAATGTTGACTTGAACCACTGGGGTATGGATGTGGTCTGAAACCGTGTGTGTGTGTGTGTGTTTGTGTGTGTGTGTGTGTGTGTGTGTACAAGGAAGGAAGAAAATGTGATGTGTGACTCCCACGGAGGGGTGCCTTAACGTGTCTGTAATAGATGGTCTTATCTGTTGAAAACAAAAGAACACCTTGATAATCTGCTCTGGGCATGAAAAGCATGGCTCCCAAGGCTTGGCAGGAATCAGAGAAACAAAGATACAAGTGGCTTTCTCTAAGAAATAAACACAATCCTGGGGTGGGAATGGGAAGACATAAAAAGGCACTAAGAGTGCAATGGAGGTTCAGCCTTCTGGAAACATGGTAGCCAGAGGCACAGCTGTGGGCATTATAAACACCCCTGCTAACCGAATGCCCACGGCACACACGGAGCCAAGGCGTGGAATCTCAAAGAATAGGGTGACCTCAGCTGCTCCCTCTGTTTCAAGAGAAAAATTACTTACACCCACTTTGCCTAAGCTACATTTTGTTCATATCCTAAAAGTTATCCAATACAACAATGCAACATCATGCCCATGTTTCAAAGGATGCTTAGGGGACTCACACAGAGACTCTCACAGGGCGGGGGGTCAGAATGGACACTGGAGCATGGGACTCAGGCACAGGCTTCCACAGGGGCCCCAGCGGGACGACAGATGAGCGGCTTGCTCAGTGTCAGAGAACATGTGGGACCCTCAGAACGATGAAGCCCTGGGGGGTGGAGGCCCCTCGCCGCCGGAGCAGTGGGATCCAGAAGCTGCCATTGTCGTGCCTCCAACTGCGCCCCTAGGGGGGACACGGGCTTACAAACTACCAAAAGATGGCTTGTCTGTGCTGCATCTTGTATCCTAGCAACTAGAATGATGCTCTGCTCAGCATAAGCCCTCCTGAGCCAGCATGGAGCTGCCCTCCCACCCAAACCCCTACAGGGGTCAGAGAAGACATGCTTTCAGTAAAGAGGTTGTCCACTACACCATCACAAACTAGAGACCCCAAACACCACAAGTTAGTGGGACTTACACCGAAGGAGGGAGACCATAACCCAAAAGGACAAGGAATGGAGCCCAAGTTGAGGTGGCCCGTGTTCAAGTCAGGAGGTGTCAGGTACCAGGTGGGAGCTGGGGCGCCTGACAGGGTGATGGGTGGAGACCTTAGGGGCAGACACACTCACTCACACATACATATGCGCATCTGAGAGTGCGGTCATTATCTACTTCCGCGGAGAACTCCATGAGCTCACAGAAGACGGAGCTGTAGCAGAGGGCTAAACGCTTTGGTATTAATATGAACAGACCAGCAATTAACCTTCTGTAAAACCAGGTTGCCACCTACTGTCATAGTACATTTGGTGTCTCAAAACAGTCATATTTATGCACTATATGAGCTAGAAAAAAGTACATCCATACATGCACAGGTAAATACAGAAATTAGAGAAATGACTTCAGGGGGTGTTCGCCGCGTTCTTTTCTTGCCCATATGAGACCGGTTTTATTTTACAAAGTTTGGTTCATGGTTTTAGTGATGAGCAACAGAGGCAAATGTGGGAAAGAGACCCTTCTAATTACTAAGGAAATCACTGTACTAATATTTTCACGAAATAAACCAAACCCAGAGGGATAGGATGGGGTGGGAAGCGGCTTTCAGGTGCTGTCAGTCAACCCAAATCATCATGTCTCAGTCAGATTTTGCTGCATAGCAAACCTCTCCAAAATTTAATGGCTTAAAACAAAGATCACTTATCAGTTCAGGATTCCATGGCCAGCAATTCCTCTGGGTCAGCTGAGATTCTCTGACTGGCCGCAGGCTCGCTCCCACATCAACGGACAGCAGTCATCTGCTATGGGGCCGGCAGGGCTGAACACTGCCCCTCAAAATATCGAGCCCTCATCCCTGTAAATGTTGCCTTCTATGGAAAAGCGATCTTCGTGGATGACTAAATTAAGAGTCTGGAGACGGGGGACTGTCCTGGATTTCGCAGGTGGGCCCTAAATGCTTCCACAAGTGTCCTCATAGGGAGGGCCAGAGGGAGGCTCCGGCCAGAGCAGAGGAGGGGCTGTGAGAGGGCAGCGCGGATATCAGCCTGGCCTGGGCTTCCTCACACACAGCCGCGCAGCAGGCGAAGGCAAAAGCAGGTTTCAAGCCCTTGCTTGGAGCGTGTTTCCTGATGTCTCGTTGGCCAGAGAAGTCACGTGGGCAAGCCCGGAGTCCACAGCTGGAGCAGTGGAAGCAGGAGCAAAGGGGCGGGCCTGCAGGGTGAGAAGGGCTGGCAACAGCTCGGAAATCTGCCGCTTACCCGCTCCTTCAGCCCCAAAGGCCAGGCAAACAGACTTCCAACACTAAAATCCCCACCTTAAAATGCCTCCAGGGCCCCCAGGGACTCTTCCTGCTTCTTGGGAGGATTTTCCACTCTGCAGGTTGCCATTCTTGGTCTTTTCTGGCTGCTAGCACAAGTATAGCACAGACTGGGGGCTTCAACAAGACACGTATTCCTCACCGTCTGCAGGGGCCCGAAGATTCAGTCTGTGGGGAGGGCCGCTTCCTGCTTTGGCCACCTCTCGCTATGTCTCCGAGTGGCAGACAGGCACAGGACCTTCCAGCGGCGTCTTCTGTAAGGGCACTAATCCCCATTCGTGTCTGCACCCGCATGACCTCATCCCTCCCAAAGGCCCCATCTTTTAATACCATCACACGGGGGGGAGAGGGGGCTAGGGTTTCAACATGAACTTTGGGAGGACAGAATTCAGCCCCTGACATAAAATTCATGTCCTTCCTACATGCAAATGCACTCACTCCGTCCCAACAGCCCCAGAGTCCTTTTTTTTTTTTTTTAAAGATTTTATTTATTTATTTGAGAGAGAGAATGAGAGAGAGAGAGAGAGCATGAGGGGGGGAGGGTCAGAGGGAGAAGCAGACTCCCCGCCGAGCGGGGAGCCCGATGCGGGACTCGATCCCGGGACTCCAGGATCATGGCCTGAGCCGAAGGCAGTCGCTCAGCCGACTGAGCCACCCAGGCGCCCCACAGCGCCAGAGTCCTAACGCACTCCAGCTCCTACTCTGAAGTCGGCCCTGAGGTAGCAGGTTCCTCTCCAGCTGGGAACCTCTGAAACCAGACAAGTCGTGTGCTTCCCAGATACAATGAGGGGACACATTCCCACTCCAAAGGGGAGAAATAGCAAAGCAGAAAGCAGAGAGTGATCCCACGTCCAACCACAAGACAAACTCCACAAGATCTAAGGCTTAAGAATAACCCTCTTGAGCGAGGTGCTCTGCCTCGCAAGGTGGTAACACCACACCTACGGTTCCATGGGATGGCCCAGGGCAGCTCTCCGGGCCTGGGCTCCTGTGCCCAGGCTCCAGGCAGCTCTGTCCTTTGAAACCAGGTTTCAAACTGGGCAGAGGTTTCATGCACGCTGAGCCTGTGCACCCTGCACACTGGCAAAGATGGCACCGCACCCCCCAGAGCGGAGGCCACCACAGCCCATACCACACCAGGGCCCCACAGAGCCACACCTGGGGCGGCAGAGGAGTGGTGCCGGGCAGCAGCTGCCGAGGTCCCACAGGCACGAGTGGCCCCTCCTGCGACGGGAACGGCAGCTCCGCTGAGCTCTGAACGGCTTCTTCCACTGTCTCGGAGAGCAGCTCCCAGCTTCTGTGGGGACAGCTGACCCATACTGACCTTGTCAGTCACTGGGGCACACTCTAGTGCTCTCATCGTTTGCAATATGGGTAGGCTGAGACTTTTCCAAATCTTTAAGTTCTGCTTTCTTTCTGCTTAATGATTTCATGTCTCTCTTCTCTCATTTTGTCATAAGCAGCCAGGAGCAGGCAAACCACACCTTCAACGGTTTGCTTGGAAAGAGCTTCAAGCCAAGTATCCAATTCCATCCCTTGCAAGTCCTACCTTCAATAAATCACTAGGCTATGAGCCCAACTGAGCCTCGTTCTTTGCCCTTTGTAACAAGACGGCCCCTCCCCACATGGCCCACAACGTGCTCCCATGTCTGTCGGAGGCCATCAGAGTGGCCCTCTCACCCACATTTCCTCCAACATCCCGGTCAGGATGACCCAGCGATTCCTCCGGATTAGAGCTCTACAGCCCTCCTCCTTCCCGTCTGCGCCCTCACCAGAGTCCCCGCTGCAGGTCCATGCACAGCAGGGCACTTCTTCTAGCTCCTCGGAGCGCCTCCAGCTCCTGCCCATCACCCGGTTCCAAAGTCACGTCCCCGTTTTCCAGGTGTTTGTGACAGTAGCAGCACCCACTGCTCTGCACCGATTTCTGTCTTCATCCATTTGCTGCTGGAACAAAAGAGCATGGACTGGGTGGCTTATAAACAACAAAAACTTATCCCTCCCACTCTGGGAACTCTGCCCCCTGCTCCCCACGGAGGTCTTATCACTGCCCCTACACGCCACACTCATTCCTACCTTAGGAGCTTCCCACATGCCATGCCTCTGATCTCAGCACCCTCTGGATCTTCCCCGTGCTCCGCCTCTGTTCACATGCCACCTGTGGGAAAGCACCCCCTGGCGCACCCCCAACCCCTACCCACTCACCACTGTCTCAGCTGGCCTCACCCATGCCTTACTGCACTGCCTCTGCATCTCTCCCCTGCCAGACCCCAGCTACAGGAGGAAGCGTCCTGCTCATCACGTCACCAGCTGTGTCCCCGGCAGCCGGGGCACAGCAGCTCAACATTCATCAAATGAATAAATTGCGTCAGTTAAGGGATCAACCCAAGGTCGCTGAGGAGTGTCAGGGCTGTACGCCACAGAGATTGTCACGCATTTTGAGTGGTTTTTTCCTTACTTGAGAGGAGGGGTGGCAGTGCTATATTCTTCCTGGACCTTGTCTACACCACCAAATCCAGTAAGAAAGAAATTAAAGATCATGTGTGAGGCAGTCCCGTGTATTGGACCCCAGCGTGGTCCTTGGACTGTGAGCCACCCCCCGCCCCCCGCTTTTCATAGGGCTCCCCAGTGACTCTGTCAGGGTGTGGACTCAAGAGCAGACACTGGGGTGGACTGAATGCGTCTTTTCTTTTAAAACAGGCTTGCGGGACGCCTGGGTGGCTCAGTCGCTGAGCGTCTGCCTTCGGCTCAGCTCATGATCCCAAGGTCCTGGGATCGAGCCCCACATCGGGCTCCCCGCTCTGCAGGGAGCCTGCTTCTCCCTGTCCCGCTCCCCCTGCTTGTGTTCCCTCTCTCGCTGCGTCTCTCTCTGTCAAATACATAAATAAATAAAAGAGCCCTGCGTCGTTCCCTTGCTCGGTTTTGGAGGTTGATGGGCTCACTCCTGGGCTCCATCTCGGGCAGGCTCACCTAGCGTAGGTGGTGACACAGAACCTCTCTCTCCCACCCAGTGGCCTGCACGTCTCACGGGACACCCTCGGGGCTTTGGGGGCGGAGCAGAAGTTCTGGGGGTGGTGACCTTGGCCAGGCGGGGCTTCTGTTGGCCGCATCAGGCGCCTGTGGCTTTCGCAGCTTTCAGTGGGTCGCAGCGGGGCCAGGCCCCGCCCACACTCCGGCCCAGCGAGGTCACACCGCAGAGGACAGCTGGGCGGGAGAGGTTGCCGCGTGACTGAGCAGGTCCCCCGCCCCGGGGCCACGGAGGGCCTGGCCACCGTGCAGAGGAGCCCCTGCGGCTGTTTCCCCAGCGGCCGCGCACCTGGGCCCGCAAAGCTCAGAGGAGGCTGCACCCAGCCCACCGCTGCCCGCACCCGCCAGGGAGATCTCAGGAGCTAAGCCGTGGGCCCCTTGAGGCCAGGACTCAGGGGAGGCCTCCCCCTCCCCTCCCACTACTGCTTTTCCGAAAAAGAGTAAAGGAAACCTCACTTAGACGAGGTCAGGCTGACGGGGCGCCGGGGTGGCTCAGTCGGGGAAGCGTCTGCCCTCGGCTCAGGTCATGATCCCGGGGTCCAGGGTTCGAGCCCCGCTTCGGGCTCTCCCCACTGCTTGTGTGCCTTCTCTCTCTCAAATAAATAAGATCTTTTTAAAAGATAAAGTAAAATAAAGTTAGGACGCCCTGAAGGGGAAACGCATCCCTAACCCCTTCCTGCATAGTTCAGCAGGAAGAGGGAAGATTTCCTCTCAGCCCTGCTCCGCAAGCTGCAGTCACCGGCAGCCAACGAGCAGCCCGCCCCCTCCAAAGGGCCTCCGCCCCACACCGCCGCGCCCACTCCCGCCTTCTCTATAAGGACCCTCCTCGCCTCGTTCTCCAGACTGGCCCGCGGTGCCCCACAGGGCGCCTGTCCTGGATTAAGGGTCCTCTGATTCCTGAATAAACACGTTTTATTGGTAAAATAACTCTTCTGTCTTTTGAGGTCGACACTTTCCTGGCTGTGAGTCATCCAGCCCTGCGTGAAAAGTGGCGAAGCCAGCTTGAAGTCTCCAGTTTTCTCTCTCTCTCATCTATTTATTCGGTGGCCTAGCCCAAATGAGCAGTTAACAGTGAAACAGTGTCTTAAATCACTAAAATCCACTTTTGCCGGCTACATGGCCTTAAGAAGCAATCAGTAAGGAATTTTGTCCTTCAAAAAACGTTTCTTGGGGCGCCTGGGAGGCTCATTCAGTGAAGCATCTGCCTTCAGCTCAGGTCATAATCTCAGGGTCGTGGGATCGAGCCCTGGGTCGGGCTCCCTGCTCAGCAGGGAGCCTGCTTCTCCCTCTCCCAACCCCCTGCTTGTGCTCTCTTTCTCTCTCAAATAAATAAATAAAATCTTTAAAAAAAAAAACACACACAAACATTTCTTACTTGCTCTGAAGCCAGGTTTCGTCTGATGTTGCTTTGGGCTTTGCAGACTATGACCCACTTCCTGGGTTTCCTGACAGGGCACCATTTACAGATGAAACGTGTTATTAGGATAACCCAGGAGTAAACCCACCCGCTCAGGACACCA